AAAGTTTGAAGGTTTTTTGAGATTTGAGTCTTGTTTTTTTATTAAGAGAGTTTCTGGTCTTAAAATGTCATCATTAGTAAGATAATAAGTAATACGTTTATTTATATAGCGCATGTGAGAAAGCCAAGAGCGCTCCAAAATTGTTTAGACTTTAGAGAGAAAAACAATCTCATTCACATACTGATATCTGTTGTTTTGAATTTGACTATAAGGTTGTGTTCCAGGACCAAGGGCACACACTGTACAGGGTCACTGGACTGAGGGAGTGGACACTGAGAGCTCAGACCACAGGACCCCAGAGTAGACACCATCCAACCAGCCGCAGATCGTAAAGGCGACATAGCTACCTCCGTGTGCCCCTCCCCCACTACAGACCGATGGTCGTAGGTGGCAGTGAGACCGGGGTTACAAAGTGGGGTTTTCTGTAGGCAGTGGTGGGTGAGTTGTTTTGCAATCTGGAAGTGTGCCCACTTTGCTTGTTTACATCGAGCCAGTGCGACCTTCTAATGCAGGTGGTTCGAGGAGTCTGGAGACACAACCCCAAAATTCACACCCTACATACACACACACACATACATCTACACACTCACACATTCACATTTACATATAGATACATGAAAAAGCAGAACATGAGAGAAAAATCATTTTAAAAGTTTACTCCAATGTAAACACATTTTTAATTGTCTTTATTTGAATCAGTAATTTTTGAGACCAGAAATGTTCATTTGAATTCTATATTGTCATGGACTTAATTAGCCTGTCTTGACATTTTTTGTTTTGATTTGTTGATTTTGTACTGTGTGAAGTAATTACATTGATTAGGATTATTTCTGATAAAAACACAAATTAGAGAAGTAAACTGAATCATTGCGCTTGCTTTTGTCTGAGGGACATTAGCAACAGCATGAATAGAAATTGTCTTTAAAGTAGAATCGAAATGACTTAACCATAGAAAGTAACTATTGCATAACAAGCTGTGTACAGGAACTGTGACACGGCACCATTGACCAGAAGTGCATCGCAAATGACCTGATGTGCGCTTCAAGTGAAAAGACTGTATCTGGAGATCCGATGTCCAACTGGAGAGACCAAAACCCTGGCTTGGACCCTACTGATGTCCAAGGTGACATCTCTCGAAATATGAACTGACTTGATGACGACTGAGACTCACCCTCAGGGGACCCTGAGGACCTTGGAGAGAAAAACCTGGGGAGTGATGTTTATATTACTAAAATCATACCATTGATGAGTGCTAAATGAGAGAGATACTCATGATTCTTTCTTTTGTTTTTGTTTGTCCCTAGCTTCTGGACATCTGATGATCTATTGGACACAGACATTTGCAGAACAAGAACCAGCCAATGAAAAATCATCTATTGCCGATGCTATTGCTACAACCAGAACCACAACTGTGACCAAATGCAATAAATGTAACGTATTCAGACATTTGACAGACAAAAACTTTGACTTTTTTAGTCTGGGAGACTGAGCAACTGTTAAAATGTGTTAAAATGATAAAGTATGAGTATTGTAGCGTTTTAATTAGATGTTAAATAGTAGTAAAAAGTAGAATTGTCCTTCCTTTGTTTTTCATAAACACATTTCCACATAAGAGTTAAAATAGTACCATACAATGTTATCCTTGATAGAGCAGCTAAAATATTAGAATCAGAATTATTTTAGAGCCATTAAAAGTGACAGAAGTCACAAACTAGAAATATGCCTTGGCTCGAGCTGCAGCCGAGCTTTGGAGTCACAATAGAGAAATAGATAAAGGCATCAACCATAGATGCTTTCAAAAATAGAGAATATTTCTAGCCATTGCTAATATATGAATTGTAAAAGGACCATTTCCTTCATAATATGTTCACAAGCATTTAGCTGTCGATTTTTCAGCACAGTTTAGAGAATCAAACACCATTGTATAACTGACCCCAACCCCAAACCTGCTAAAATAGATTAGCTCTTGAAAGGATGATAACAATTTGATGAATGATGTACATTCATCCCAAACTGCCTGAGAGGAGGAAGTGACAGCACTTCCTAGTTCAACAAATGTATTTGGAAAACTGACCGCCATAATAATGTTCATATTAACCATTTGTCTTACTGTGTTCACAGTTTTATTCCTGAGAATGTAGAATAGACATGGAGCAAAATCTCACACCAGCTTTGTAAACGAACAATAGCTTTTACTGAAGCCATGTACATGCACAAAACTCTCAGACACTATAAATAATGACCATATCTAACTGCTACAGACTTTGATTTCAACATTTGGGAGTTTTTTTTATATTTTAAATGAATACATGGGGTTTTTTTTTCAAATTGCTTTGCAGTAAATGGTCTTTACTGTAACATACATAAATAATATATGTTCCAGCATTTGTCTCTTTTTATTTTTTTATAACTAATAAGCATGCATTAAGTCCTTAACCAGCCAAAGAGTTCCACCTGTTTATTTAATTTCATTTTTTAATAAGGACAGTCCTAAAAACTGTGATAATGAAATTCTATGATTCCTGTGTAGATTGAAATTAGGACTAAAAAGTGCTCCACCCAAAAAACCCGATCCACCCAAAAGGTGTTCCTCATTTTTCTGTTCTCAGGTTGGCAACCCTATTTGCTGCTAACGGAGCCCGAGGGGAGGAGCGCCACAATCTTGGTCATCAATGACATTTGCTAAACATTCCTCTAGCTCTGGCTTCAATTTCTTGATAGAAACAGGCCGGAATACTTTACTATCGCATTCTTTGCCATTGCCAAACGACAACCTGCCCGTTAGGCGCAAACTCTTGACGTCACCCACATCTAACTACAACACTGGCTAATGTGATGAAATTTAACATTTTAATAGTAGGAGTACCTATGAAATTATTTAGTTGGTGATCTTATAATTAACTGGGCAGATAAAAGCAAAAGAAAAGAGCCCAAATCAATCGCAGAAAAATATGATCTTGAGCAAATTATTGAGGGCCCAATTTGAATAACAAAAAATGCAGACACAAATTGATTTGACTTTTACAAACAATCCTGATAGGATACATAAAACCCACAACCTAATCACTGGACTGTCAGATCATAATATTATTCACTAAAAAAATAGCAAAAAATAGTTTTTTAATATGTACATGACAACAATAATTGTTCAAGAATTTCCTAAAGTGATCTGCCCAAACTCGAGCATCTTATTAAAAACACAGAAGGAGTCCGTTTTTTTTACAATTAACATTGATGAAAGTGTCTTTAAATTTATGACTCAATTGCACCAAGCAATTAATAGTTTATAGAGAAAAATAAATGTTAAGGTTAAAAAACAGAACAATCTTCGATGGATAAATTAAGTTATATGGTCTTTAATGAAACAGAGAGACATTGCCCTGAAGAAGGTGCTGAGGACTAAATATGAAAATGGCAGGCGCTTGTTCACGGCACTAAAAAATAAAGTTACAAAAACAAAGAGGAAAACCTAGCAAAACCTAAAAAAGTTAAGTGGGAAAACTAACATGATCAAAACTATTGCACTTAAGATACAAGGAAATATGATAAATGTCCCATGTGTTGTAGCCAATGAATTAAATTCATACTTTATTGACTTTGTCGATTTATGAACACACCTAATACCTTAGACTGTAAATATTAACGGACCTTGTCACGTCTATCTCCGCTGTTGAAACTAATGTGCCATCACTTTTGCCTTCTGTGATGATAATATGTCATGAGAAACTTTAATGAAAATGAAGTTTCATTGGCCATTTTTTTAATTAACAAAATGGCCACGGGCAGCATCTCCCGCAGGAAAAATGAAAAAACGCATTTGCGCATGCGTTAGTCGGCACCAGCCACATTCTTTTAACGAGTGCCTTCTGAAGTCCACAGAGGCTAAACTAGAGTTGTCCAAAAATATATACTCCCCTCAGCAATGACACGCATCTGGAATGTAGGTTTGGGCCAAGAGCCGACTTTTGGACCATTCTGTAAAGCCATACATCATTGGATAATTATCTTTGAGTCCATCCCAAATGGCCTGGAGTGAGATTGCAAGTACTGTATGTCAGCACAAAGGCTCCTGGACGTTTTTGAGCCGGGACCCGCCCCCACAGCCAAATACTGAAGATCCCATGTTGTTCTTCCAGAAGACGACAATCTCTAAAGTACAATCAATCATTTCCTCACTTAAAACTTCACTGTTTTCCTAAAAACTCATCAAGAAGTTCTGGCCCCAATAATTTGTAAGCTAATCATATGGTCACTCAGCAATGGAGTGCTGGCCAATCAGTATAATTCCAACCATCTCAAAAGATATATAGAAAAATTTATTTCACAACAAATCGCAATGCATCAAGATTCTATCAAAAATACTCTTGAGCGCTCCACCAGTGTGCACACAGCCGTGTAATGTTATGAGCGTATGCTGTAAACGCTTACAGTGTAAATTCCCCGAAAGTGCCACACACTCTTGTAACACTGTCCCGTAAGTGCCACACCCTCTTGTAACACTGACCCTAACCGTGCAATGCTCTTATGTTGATGCTTTTACTACGCTGATTTTTTATGCTTTATATCAGGGGTCTCCAACCTTTTTCAATCAGAGAGCTACTTTTATACAAATGAAGCTACTCCATTTTGCAGTCGTAAAAAATCTATCTAATAATTACGACGGTGAACACATGTAAAATACACCATAATTCTGCAATGGCTCAAAAAGTATTCATTCAAGATCATTTGTTGAATTCTAAATCCTTTGGCGAGCTACTGGTGGCTCCCGAGCAATAGATTGGAGACCCCTGCTTTATATGTTTGTATGTGGCTTTTAAATAACTGTTGCTCAGTTTGTTGATGGCTGTAATATCAACCTGCCATAGGACTACAGATGAAAACTAGCCTTCATGGCTAACATTTACACATGTTTGACACATGTTGATTAATGTGCACTGTCCCATTCAAATAAATAAATAAATCCCATTTTTGTAGCCAAAGAGCAGTGAGAGTGTTGGCACCTGAAAGGCGATGTCACACATGGTGCCCATCCAGTCCTGGGCAAGGCTCCTTTCGGCACAGAACACGTGGGTCTTGTCGTTAGTTTCCACGCAGAATGCGGACATGTTGTCTTTTGGGCAGTTCTCTGTGAAGGCCGGCAGGATAGAAATGCACTCCGACAGACGGATGATCTTCTTGTCTAGCTTTCGCGTTTTCTCATTAGATAGAGAGCCTCCTGCAGCCACCGACGGCGAATCAAAAAACTCCAGCCTGGCTATGCCGTTCTGACTGGAGGGGTAAAGTACAAACCAATTCTTCTTCCATTTCTGTGGGGAAAAAAAGTTTGCATTTATTCAGGAAAGGAAATGTATTTATACATAACAGTTGATAGAAACATGACTAACAGAGAAAATGCAATAGAACTAATAACTGCAAAACATTAATACAAAATTGCTGTCTGCTTAAGTTTAATTGTGCTCAAGGTACGCTGTAAACCCAAACACTAAAAATAGTTCATTTAAATAAGTACAGTTTACTTTTTTAAAGTAAACTAAACTTATATTTTTGTGAATTATTTTTTACTTTTTACAGATGTCAGACATCTAGTAGAAAAATCACTAAGCAGAAATCGAGACTTATCAGACCAGGCAACTTTTTCCAATCTTCTATTGTCCAATTTTGGTGAGCCTATGCGAATTGTAGCCTCAGTTTCCTGTGTTTAGCTGACAGGAGTGGCACCCGGTGTGGTCTTCTGCTGCTGTAGCCCATCTGCCTCAAGGTTTGACATATTCTGTGTTCAGAGAGGCTCTTGCATACATTGGTTGTAACAAGTGGTTATTTGAGTTACTGTTGCCTTTCTATCAGCTCAAACCAGTCTGGCCATTCACCTCTGACCTCTAGCATCAACAAGGCATTTTCGCCCACCAAACTGCCGTTCACTGGATATTTTCTCTTTTTCGGACCATTCTCTGCAAACCCTAGAGATGGTTGTGTGTGAAAATCTCAGTAGATCAGAAGTCTCTAAAATACTCAGACCAGCCCGTCTGGCACCAACAACCATGCCACGTTCAAAGTAACTTAAATCACCTTTCTTCCCCATTCTGATGTTCGGTATGAACTGCAGCAGATCATCTTGACCATGTCTACATGCCTAAATGCATTGAGTTGCGGCCATGTGATTGGCTAATAAGGATTTTGCATTTAAGTGGAGTTGGATAGGTGTACTTAATAAAAGTGGCCGGTGAGTATATTTACACATACACATTTAACATATAAATACTCTATATACATACATACACACACATTTATGCAATTAACATTTAAAAAATACATAATGAGTGTGCTCACAGTAAAGTGACAATTGAAGTATCTGGACTTTAAAAGGTTATAACTTAAAAACTAAAATTACTTTCATAGATTGGAAAAAAGATTTCAAACACAGACACATTGAAGAGATAGTGTGGAAAAAATCAAAAGGAAAGATTGACATAAAAATGTTTAGCAACATTTTAAACGACCAAATTAGCCTTTGATTGGACCATTCTACTGTGACCCCAGTTACATAGAAAATAAAATGTCCGCAGTCTGAAAAAGCAGAAGATGTAATCCCACAAGATTTACATGGTTAACACAACAGAAGGAAATCACTTGATATAAAAAGGAATCGTGAAAAAATAAAAATTAATTAATTAATTAAATGACCCCTGAAAAATGTATAACGGACGTGATGAGGACGGTCCTCTTTTCTCTAAAAATTTCTAAAAAAATATAGAATCTCTGAATCAAATGTGGACATCTGAAAATACCTATCAAACTTCCACAAAGCTCATTCCGTCAAATCATCACGTTCGTTACATAAAATAAACAGGGCCGCTATAGGAAACTTGTCTAATGTATAAAACAGTTATGTTCTAGCAACTTCTAATGGACAGAGGAGGTGCTTGGAAACATGAAAAACATAAAATATCTTCTGATTATTAAAATCAAATTTTTGGCCTTTTGTCATACTTTTGTGCCCTTTATTGTGAACAAGCCCATAATATATACTGTATACACAACACACACACCTTGTTTGATTCAGCACTTTGAGTTGCCTTGTGTATGAATTGTGCTATACAAATAAACTTGCCTTGCCTTGCCTTACATATACATATCTACATACAAACACAACTACCAACATGCACCCTGTGATGGCAAGCGACTAGTATTCATGCAACCCTGCCTGTGTCTATTCATATGTCATATGTCCCTGTTCCAGGAAGGAGCCGGGCCCCCCCCGACACCTACAGACAATGGCGCAAATCACTGTCCTCCCTTTCGCCTCTTGCATATCTATCGGTCTGTATGTGTGCATCTTCTACATCCTGCTGCCTGTCACACCCTTGTGCCTTTCGCCTCTTGCATATCTATCGGTCTGTATGTGTGCATCTTCTACGTCCTGCTGTCTGTCACACCCTTGTGTCTTCCGTGTCTTGCATCTGTATGACCTGCATTTAGACCATTGTCTGTCTGTTCGCACCTCGTTCCCAGACGGCGCCAAACGCTCCCCATGCGCCTCCTCACGGGTGGCCCCCTCCAATCTGTTGTGGGCGGGACTGTCTCTCGTGTGTGTCTTGTATACAGGAAACTTGGGGCTCTGCCCTCAGAGCTAGTACATGCTGCCTTGTGTATGTGCTGACTCTCCGTACGTATGTTAACAATAAACTTACGCTTTTGATCAGACAAAGACCTTTGAGTTTTCTCCTTCATTGGGTAGAAACTTCCTTAACAATTTGGCGTTGCTGACATGTCTTGGCATGGATACTTTCGGCGGGGACGAGCGGCTTTGTTTGGCCGACCTGGATCACCAGCCTCTGTTCCTTTTTGGAGACAAAGGAGGGCGCGCTCGTCCCGCGCACGGAAGGAATCCTTTTGCCACACAAGACCAAAAAGAACCTAATCTGGTGAGTCTTGTCTTTTCATCTGCGTAACGAGCCCAGGGCAGCACTTAAGTGTACACGGGGATTTGTTTATTTATGTATTTTTTGGGGTATTTCATTCATTGCCACAGCATAGTCTGTGTGCGGGATTTTTTGGGGGCTTTTTGTTCTAGATTGAAGCTAGCGGCTGCGCGTTAGTATCGCATTGTAAGCGACCCTGGAATCTCTGAGTGTCTTCAGCCAGAACCGCTCCGTTTTCAAGAACGCGCGCTCGCTGGTTGAACCAGCGGGGGGGGGAACGGAGCGCCCCAAAGTGGGTAAGAGCAGGGAGAGACTAAGCGGGTTAGGCCCATTGTTCGTACGAGAAAATGGGTAAAATCAATCTACAGATGCAAGCTATGAAGTGCTTGCCTATGGTGCAGGTCATCTGCGTGATAATTTAGAAGAAGAAGGGAAGAAAAAAATATACTTGGTTTTAAGAATATCACGGCAAAAGAAGTTAGAGAAAGAAATATGTAAAAACAATAGCTCCTCCGCCTTTCACCAAAGCGGAGAACACACAGGCGCACACACACGCCCTCTCTCACCTACTAACCCTTTCACACTAGGAGCAGAACTCCATGCTAAGTACGCGCCCAAACAAGGCGTTGGGTTTTTAAAAAATGAAGCAGACTACTGTTGTCTCTTTTCCCTCTTCCCTATCCAGGTCTGTCGGCGCCTTTCCTCCGCGCTCTGTCCTCTGCCTCAAAGCACCAGCCCCACGCCCCAACCACAGGCGGCGCCCGCACCAGCTGAGACCCCGCGAGAAGTGGGCCCAAACCGCAGAAGAAGAAGAGGCGGAAACAGACACACGCTCAGGAAACCACAGAAGAAGTGGGGGAAGCAAATATGTGAGACACCGACAACTGCTTTGGAGCACAGAGAGAAACTGCTCCAAATCCCGTGACTGTTCTCCACGGAGGGGGCAGCGTGATATACCAAACGCACCCGCGGAAACCCGCTTGAAAGTTGTTCCCGCACCGCAAACAGAAGAAGCCATTGTGACCGGCACGTTTGGGTCATTCACCAACCCTCATGGACCACATGCTAACGCTTTGGGCTACCTGGGCCTCCTGCGGACTTTGAAAAACTTCCACAGCCCGGCGGAAAGACTGTGTGCTCGACATGGGTCGAAGGACTGTTACCGGAGGAGGCGTTAAAGGCAGAGGGCCTCTCAAGCTCACACGGGGCCAGAGGACGGCAGAGGCGGGCACGGAGGAAACACGAGCGACTGACCAAACCCGGGTTCACATTCGTCACCAAAGCGACCGCTCATGTAAGTTGAACAACAACAAATTGCAATTGGCACTTTTTAGAGATAATTCATGCCCGTAATATACGCTAACAACCTGTGGTGTACAAGTTAAAATTCTGGATGACTCCGGGGCAACAAATTCTGTGCTAAAAGTGACAGCCTTTCTGTCTCCCCTAAAATGAGCGGCCGCTTCATATTCTAATTAGCAGCGTCGGAGAGACGACTAAAGAGCAATTTACGTCACCGCTAACGTGTTTTGATTCTCAGGGCAACCAGCTTAAACATTCTTTTCTATATTCCCCATTGTCCCCGGTTAATCTACTAGGCCGAGACCTTATGTGCAGACTCAATTAAAAATAGATAAATAAAAGGAGGCACCGGTCCCAAAAGTTAACTACCACTGGAAATTGACACCAAACCCTGAGATTGCTAAGTTATTAGCCACAACAAGTGGATAGTGACGCCCGCACAAAATTTGGAGGTCAACCACGCGAACGACCTAAGCTGCTCTCTCCGGTCGTTCCCAGACAATAACTTGGAGTTTGAAAATTCATGCAGTGTAGGGAAGATAGGCTAACGGAGTACGTTTATTGAGATAGGCACCACTATCTGTGCTACTTAATGAGCAACAAAAACATTTTTATCGTGAAACAAAGGTGAAGTATTAAAGTTTGAGACTAATTTACATTTTTAATGAATCCGACCTGGCTTTATTGAAAAAGAAAAAAAAAAATAAGGAAAATAAACATTTTTTAGGTGACAAGAGCTCATTAGAGATATAGGGGACACAATCTGTGATAAGCCCGAAATACAGACCACGTGGTAAACACTAAAGTTGGAAATGGATCCTTTTAGGAAAACTCTTTTAAGCTCTGCAGGCTCTGAAAGTTGCAACAATAAGAAATAGCTCATGAGACAATTGGAATTGGACATGGAAAAATATAACAAAGTTAAAAGTACAGGCCTTCTGTGTGTGTTACATGTTTGTGTGTTATATGTTTTGTGTATGTTATATGTTTGTGTGTCATGTCAAAGTACACTACGCTGACCTTAACAAACTCTGGACCAATACTAACGTGGGGAACCGGCCTGTGATGTGACTGTGATGTGACTG